TTGTTTTTTGCGTTGGAGTCTCACTGTCACCCATGCTGGAGTGCAGTGGCATGATCACAGCTCACTGCAGCCTCGACCTCCTGGGCTCAGGCGATCTTCTGCCTCAGCCTCCCGAGTGGCTAGGACTACAGGTACGTGCCACCGCACCTGGCTAATTTTTTATTTTTTGTAGAGACAAGGTCTCACTATATTGCCTTGGCTATTTTACAGAAAACATGCTAGAAGGGGGAACTTATTTTATTTTTATGAGTCAGAGCATCACTTTGTTGCCTAGGCTGTACAGCAGTGGCACACTCAGTCACCCCAGGGTCGACCTGCTGGGCTCCGGTCATCCTTCTGCCTCAGCCTTCCAAGTAGCCGGAACTACAGGAACATGCTACCATGCCTGGCTAATTTGTTTGGGGGATATATTGTAGAGACGAGGTCTCACCAAGTTACCCAGGCTGGTCTCAAATCCCTAGGCTCAAGCAATCCTCTCGCCTTGGCCTCCCAAAGGGCTGGGATTACAGGCTTGAGCCACTGTGCCTGGCGAGGGGGAACTTATTTACAAGACTCTGATGTTGACTATCACACAAGGCTGTGGTTAGTCACTGTGGTTAGTCACTGACCCAAAACCTAAAACAGGTTTTGGGTCAGTGAGATGAGGAACAAGTGGGCTAAACTGCCAACCACAAGGGAAGGGGAGGTTTTAACTAGGCCAAGGTGATGAGGTACAACTGAGTTTCAAACAACTAATGTTAGGCCTAAAAATGTCCAAGCTCTGAAGATGGAGAACTAGGGGTTAGACCGCCCACAGCAAGCAAAGCCCAGCCAGGCCTCAGTCAGTTAAAGATATGGGTGCCATCGCCAGAGGAGGCCAGGGCTCTGATAGAGGCTTCCAGGAGGGGAGCCTACCAGCAGCAGGTGCCACGTTGCAGGCCACATTTCATTCACTGAGACTGTCATGCTAGACTGGCATTACAGGGGTGACAGGCTCAGGCAAGATGGCCTGTCAACATCATGAGGGGCTACGAGACGAAGCCAGGTCAGCCTGCATGGGTGTAGCTGAAATGACTGTGGGCCCCACGCTGTAGCTGCACCCCCAATACGCCAGTGATATCCTTTGAGACCTGCCGGGCACAGGCACACCCACCTTTCAGGCTGACATTGCCATGGTGCTGCTGGGCCATCACGACTCCATCAATACATCGGAGCATTTCACCACCGGCCATGCCCAGTGGGTGGGCAAGACCCTGGAACAGGACAAGCGCTTCTTCTCCATTCCGAGGCGGACATGCCGCCCCAGCACCTTCTCTGGAAAACGTGGTCTCGGCCAGATCCAGCAGCAGCTGGATAGTCAGGCACAGGATCTGGGGGGTTAGATCCTCGAATCTCAGCTGAGGCTCAGAGTGGGAGAAGGGGGTCACCCTAGGTCACACTGCGTGACTGAATTAGGCCCCACAGTGGAATAACACTTATAGCTGTCATATCCTGAGAGCCAGCACTTCTCAGTCACTGGTGACAGAGGTCAACCACTTACATTAAGGAAAAAAGAGCATGTATTAGCTCATGTATTTGCAAAGTCAGAGGATTGCAAATGTTATGTGCACAATACAGATCTGGCACCTGGGGATGACAATGGCACCTAATATTGAGGGTTCACCACAGCCCTGGCACCATGATCATGGACTCAGTTCATCACCACAACATCCCTAAGAGGTAAGTACAGTTGTCACCTTATTTTACAGATAAGACAAGAGAAGCCCAGAGAGGTTTGGTAACTTGCCCAAAGCCACGCAGGTGGAAGGTGGCAAGGTTGGGATCTGAACTCAGGCAGCCTAGCTCCAAGGTTGACTTTTTTTTTTTTTGAGTCAGAGTCTCACTCTGTGCCCAGGCTGGAGTACAGTGGCACACTCACGGCCACCGCAGCCTTGACCTGCTGGACTCAGGTGATCCTTCCGCCCCAGCCTTCCAAATAGCTAGAACTACAGGCACGCACCACCACGAACAGCTAATTTTTTAATTTATTGTGGAAACGAAGTCTCGCCAAGTTGCCCAGGCTGGTCTCGAACCCGTGAGTTCAGGCAATCCTCCTGCCTCCGCCTCCCAAAGTGCTGGGACTACAGGCATGAGTCACTGCATCCTGCTGGCTGACATTCTTTTTTTTTTTTTTTAAAGTTTTGAAACAGAGTTGATTAGTGAGAAGAAGAGAAGGAAAGAAGAAGCTTCATGGCAGAAAGACCTGCCATGGGCAAGTTTCTCAAGAAAGCGAAGCCTCAGGGTTGACATTCTTTTTTTTTTGAGTTGGAGTCTCACTCTGTCACCCAGACTGGAGTGCAGTGGTCACTCCCGGCCACCGCAGCCTCGACCTGCTGGGCTCTGGCAATCCTTCCACCTCAGCCTTCCAAGTAGCTGGAACTACAGGCGCGCGCTACCACGCCTGGCTAATTTTTGATTTATTGTGGAGATGAGGTCTCGCCAAGTTGCCCAGGTGGGTCTTGAACCCACGGGCTCAGGCAATCCACTCACCTTGGCCTCCCAAAGCACTAGGATTACAGGCTGAGCCACTGAGCCCGGCCGGGGTTGACATTCTTAAAGCCAAGGGCTGTGCTCATGACAAGTGCATGAACCCAGGCAATTGTCAGGAAAACATGGCCAGCTCCAATGTAGAAACTGATTGAGCGGAGGTCATGTTTCCCACAGTGGAGAGCGTGAAGGATCCTGACACCTTCCTGCTCTCCATGTTGGAGCTGGAAAGGGGACTTCCACCTGCTGGAGACGATGGGGAAGGAACTTGGAGAGCCACAAGAGACACACATTTCTAGTGGCCATGCTCAACATCTCAACACCCCTCCTAGAGAAGGTCTCCTGGCAGCAGCACATCCAGCTGGTGGCCAGTGGCCTACAGCACCCACCCAAGTCCCACACTGAGCATAAAGGGTGTGGAGTGGGCCTGCACACACACAACCTCTCTTAGCAAGGCCACTGCCACAGAATGACTCCTTTGTCAAGCTGGTTGATGGGCCAGCCTCTGCACATCCTGGAGGCAGTAAAAGGCCTGTGGACCAAGGTCATCAGGGCATTGGTGGTGGAAACATCAGCCAGGCTTCCAGAGATGCCTATGCTTTCAGCCACTGTGGGCACCCTGGCCACCTGCAGCACCTCCTTCACCACCCTCTACTGGACACTTCACACGTCTCTGGATGTGGCAACCAAGGACATCCAGAGTGTACTGATTCAGACTTCCTTGGCAACACCAAGATCCCAGGTGAATCCTATCAGAAATCTAAGTCCTAAGCATAAGCCAGCTGGCAGAGAAAGGCTGACAGGGCATCTATGTCGTCAGCTGTGTGGTGTTGGGGGATGGGGAGAAACTCAGGCTCCAGCTCTCCTGGCCTGAGCTGTGTGCTGTCCTGCATTTCTTAGCTTTGGGTCTCACGCCCTTCTCTGACCACTGACTCTATCTTCCCTACTCTGGCAAGACCCCATCAACCAGACAGACCCATTGGGAAGCAAGGGGTGGAGATGAGACCTGGGACAGATGTTTTGACAAGGCAGGAGGAACTCAGTTACCTAGCTGGGAGGGCAGTCAGAAGGATTTCTGTACAGATCCGGACAGTGAGGCAACGGGTTTAGAAGCATTTCTGTAAGAGCGGTGAGTGTCACAGCTCTGAAGGCCCCTGCGGTTCACCTTAATGTCAGGATAATGACCAAAGGGGAGGTTCCTGTCTATGGCTAGTAAGGAAGTGGTAGTGCCAGTCTGCCTTGTTCTCATACCTTCCAGACCATAGCCCCTCTGTGGAAGACTCCACACTTTGGGCCTGCTGAGTGCTGTCTTCACTATCCTCCACCTGCTTCTGTTTGTGCTTTTTTCTTGAAAAGTCCCAGGATACTCAAATAACACTAGGACTTTGTGGGTATGCTTGTTTTTGTTTTTTTTGAGTTGGAGTTTCACTGGGGCTGGAGTGCAGCGGCATACTCATGGCCACCGCAGCCTCAACCTGCTGGGCTTAGACAATCCTTCCGCCTCAGCCTTCCAAGTAGCTGGAAATAAAGGTGCATGCTACCACACTCGGCTAATTTTTGATTTATTGTAGAGACGAGAGCTCACCAAGTTGCCCAGGCTGGTCCTGAACCCCTAGGCTCAAGCAGTCCTCTCATCTCCACCTCCTAAAGTGCTAGGATTACAGGCTTGAGCCACCTTGCCCAGCCTATGGGTATGCTTAAAAGGAGGAAGTCAGTGACACAAAGTGGCAGGGGGGTGTGGTAGTGGACAGACTCAGCTGGCTCGACTGGAACTAACTGCTTTATTGAACAGTGGATTGGCATAACTTGCAGGTAAGGACTAACTTGGGCTGTTGAGACCAATTTGGATACATACTTTGGGAAACACAAACTAAGATTATGTACTACATTTAACTGAGCAGATATGGGTTGGTACTGCACCAAACTATCTAGTATATTTAATCAAGGGCAGGTTCTGGATTTAAATTAAAGATGGGGACTGCAGTTTGTTTTTGAGTCAGGGGTCTCACTCTGTTGCCCAGGCTAGTGTACAGTGGCACCATCATGGGTCACCACAGCCTTGACCTCCTGGGTTCAGGCAAGCCTTCTGCCTCAGCCTCCCAAGTAGCTAGGACTACAGATGTGTGCCACCACACCTGGCTAATTTTTTGTAGAGATGGGGCCTATTTGCCCAGGCTGGTCTTGAACTCCTGGGCTCAAGCAATTCTCCTGCCTCGGCCTCTCAAAGTGCTAGGATTACAGGCATGAGTCACTGTGCCTGGACAGGAGTGCTGTTTTTAAGCAAGAGGAGATGAGATTTATAAGGGAATGAGGTTTATTTAACCACCACTAGGCAATGTCTGTAAGGGTAAGGTATGGTATTTAAATTAAGGGTAAGTACTATATTTAACTAAGGACAAGTTCTATTTTTTAAACCCAAACTAGGCATAGTATTTAACTAGGCATTCAACCCAAAGGCAATGTTTTCAAGTAAACAGAAGACATGAGGTAGCCACTGTATTTATCCAAATTATATTTTCCTACCCAAAACACACACAAAAGGGACGCCTGATGCCAACCCAGGAAACAGAACAGCCTTTTCTAGGGGCTTCTGCCTTAGCTGAGACTAGTCTCCACCTGCTTGCAACAATTCTATGACCCACAGTGAATGTATCCCCAAGGGAAGTCTGTCCGGGTTCCAAGGCAGCCAAGCGATAATCTTCTCACAAGGCCTGAGTCTCAATGTGCCCTGCTTGCCAGAACAGCATGTTGGGTAGAGGTGGATGAGGAACACGAGAACAGGCTTGCATGACCACGTTTATTTGAACCACTAGCTCTGCTCCAATAAGAGCTCTCCAGACCCTGCCTCACCTTCCAGGGACGAGCTCAGAGTCAGGGAAGAGGGACCTGTGGCTCCCATCCCTGAAGGACAGGCCAAGATGGAGCTTGGGCTTCCTGATGACCATTCAGACTCCTCCCACTGCCTGTCCCTGTGGGGTACTTGGGATGGGTTGCCTTGTCTCAGGTTGGGGGTGGGATCTCTTCAAGTCACTCCTGAGCAGCCCCCAATTGAGGGTGGGGGGCCTGGCCCTGGACACCTCATGTTTCTGGGCAGGGAAGTCACGACCCCTCGTCCATCAGGCCTGCTGCCACTCTCCACCCCACCGGGGGAAGGACGTACGTGCTCCCTCGTCGTCCACTGGGGATCCAGGAGGTTCCCTGCATGACACTCCTCCCCTCAGCCTCAGGCCAGCAGGCGGCTGTACTCTGCTAGGGCAGAGGACTTTTTCACCCCATCCCAGATGCGGGCAGCATAGTGGAACCTGTGAGAGGAGACTGAGAGTCAGGGTTGCCCTGACTGGGGCTCCACCCAGCCTATCACCAGTCTTAGAGAGGTAGGAAAACAGGTCCCACATGTGACCTGAGATATGGCTCTGTCTGGGATACAGGGAAGATGCAAACATGGGGAGGCAGCCCTGATTCCCTTAGCTCACCCAGGTTAAGTGAAGGTGCCTGGGCTCAAACTACGACCTCAGGTCACCACCTCCAAGTCTAAACTTCTCACACTCTACTCAGTGTTGGCCTCAGTGTAGGCTCTATCTCCAACTCCCTCTGAAGTCTTGTGATGACAGGAAACATCAAACAGCAGCCGCACAACCTTCTACCTCCCAAATTCCCCCTCTACCCACTGGGCCCTAGTTAGACCAATGGGCGGAGCAGAGCTGGAACTGAATGCCAGCTCTGCCCACCTTCGCTCTGCAGCCCTGAAGTGGCCTTCTGCGGCTGTGTTTGCACTCCTGGCTCCTGGCCACTGCTGACTGTAAACAGACCCTGGGGAGCCAAGTCAGAGAGGCTGCACCAAGTCAAGCTATTTCTCTTTCAAATGTTTCTCTTTGAAGTAAGATGAGCCAGAGCCATCTGTTGAGGGTTCTGGACAAATAAGTCCTATGAAGTATGGGATGAGGAGGTGGTGCAGGGCCATGTGAAAGCAGGGAGAGAAAGCCAGCAGGCAGGAAAAGAGGAACATGAAGGGGGACAATGAGACCATGCTACCCTTCATGCTTCTGATGGCTTTTTTGCTTCCCATCTCCCGTGAGGCTAAGCTTTCTGTGATCAGGTCTTTGGAATAAGTCTTTAAGATTAACTGGAGCCGGGCTCGGTGGCTCAGCCTGTAATCCCGCGCCTTTGGGAGGCTGAAGTGAGAGGATTGCCTGAGCCCGCGGGTTCGAGACCCGCCTGGGCAGCGAGACCTCATCTCTACAATAAATCAAAAAATCAGCCGGGCGTGGTAGCGCGCGCCTGTAATTCCGGCTACTCGGAAGGCTGAGGCGGAAGGATCGCCGGAGCCCAGCAGGTCGAGGCTGCGGTGGCCGGGAGCGGCCACTGCACTCCAGTCTGGCTGACAGAGTGAGACTCCAACTCAAAAAAAAAAAAAAAAAAAAAAGATTAACTGGGCTCACGAATCCTAAACCTAGGAATCAAATGGCCCCTAACCACAGGTGTGTGACCTTGCTATATGACACTTCTTTTTCTCTGAGTCTAAATTTCTCCACCAGTAAAATCAGTGACAAGGCCTACACCCCCACTGGCTAATCAGGAGGGTTCAAACATGAAACAGCATGTTGCCTAGCATGGGTGAGGTGCGTACAAGATGGCAGCAATCATCACGGTTCCAGAAAAGGAGTGTGAGGTTTGGAGAGTAGGGGCTTAATGAGGTCACACAGATCTCTTCGAGCCCCTTCTGTCAACACAAGGGTGGGGCACCTCAAATTTACCCCCCCTGCAAACAGGTCTCACCAGTTCTTCTCGGTGAGGATTGTGTGTGACAGCTGTGGCCGAGCCATGGACATCACTTGGCTCCGGAGCTTGCTCACCAAGGACTGGAAACTGGGGTGGCCACGATAACCAGGCAGCAGGGAGAAGAGTGGGCTAGAACCAGGTCCTGGGAAATTGGGGCAGGGAGGATAAGGGGGCACAATGTCAGGTTTTTCTCAGTTAACAAACACCCTCGCTTCAAGGAGCACCTCAGAGTTCCGCCCTGGCCCTGCTCTTCCTGTACTTTCCCAACCTGGAAACACACTCCTAGAAAACCATCCCAGCACCTTGGGAACAGGCCAGTCTTCTCTCTGACCAGGTGTGTTCCACATCACTCCCAAGCCAGGGCAGTCTATGTCACCTCCTAGACCAGGGTGGCTTGGGTCTCTCTCTGATCAGGATAGGACCTGTCTCCCTATGAACCTGTGGGGTAACTATACCTGCTCTTGGCGGGTTTTCACTCTCTGCTTCGCTGTCCATGAAAGGCATCAGGAACAAGTTGACCTCAGAGTCCAGGAAGTCAGGGGGGAGCCCCGGGAAGACATTGCACTGTAACATGGACAGAGTACCTGGAGGAGAAAATGCTTCAGCCTGCGGGTTCCATACTGTAGGCTTGGGGGTGGGGGCAGCTGACAGTCAAGGCAGCGTCAGAGGACTAGCATGGGGGTCTCTGCCATGGGGTTGGGTCAGGAGTGAGGAGGCTGTCTGTCTAGTCTGGGGGTGTCCTGGGGGTCCTCACCCTTGTAGCGCAAGTGGGAGTGGGCCATGAGCTGGTCGATCATCAGGTGCATCTGCCGCAGCTTCCGAGGACAGAAGTCCTCTCGGCGAGCTTTGTTCTGCAGGAAGACTGAGGGTGGAAGGAGACAGGCCCTGTGAGGCAGACAGCGCTCGGCCTCATGGACTTCCCTTTCTCATGCCAAAGATCCGCCCTTACCCGAGTTCAGATCACTGTGAGATATTTACATAACTTCACTTTAGCGCCAGGCTCTGTGCAGGCCAATACCGGGGACCCAAAGGGGACTCAGACCTGACTTCTGCCCTGAAGGAGCCCCAGTCTGATGTGAGGGGTCATAAATGAGCTAGATCTTTGCAGAAGAGAAGCAGAACAGAGAAAGGACATAAGAGGAAAAGGGATAGCATGGACAAAGACTGGAGGGGGAGAACGGGTGGAAGGGAGTCGCTCAAATTAACCCACATTCATTTCCTGGGCCCCATGCTGAGAGATGCCAGGGACCCAGAAACAGGCAGACCTGAGGCCTGTCCCATTCTATTCACAGAGCCAGACCCAGATTTAGGGGGTCATACCTTTGGTGGCCAGGGATAGACCAAGGCAGTGGGAACCTGGGGGAAAGTGGCAGCTAATCCTTTCTGACTTTCCTCCTCATGACTCCAAAGGGCTCCTCCCAGACCCCACTCCTCCCCTCTCTCTCCACCTCCCCAGCATGCTCCTGGTTCCCATCCCCTCATGCTTCCTCTTGCCCACCCCTGAAGCCCCCAGAAAGCCTCTCACCCAGGTGGGGGTAGTACTCGGTGCCTTCATCGGAGCCAGACGAGCTACTGGACTCGTGGCTGGGAGATGGGGTGGAGGGCTTCACCATCTCCGCCGTCTGGAGGAACCTTGGGGTTTGGAGTAAGAGGCTGTTGCTCTTGCACCCCACACCAACAGCCTGAGGCAGGGGCTCCCTTTGAGATTCTGATGAAAGCTACAGCCACGCTCAGAAAAATGCCACATACACACCATGTTTCTCACACAATTTGAGAGAATTCAGAGATAACCCTCTCAGATACCAATCCATGGACTTATGTCAACTGTACACATTTTTTATGAGTTTACCCTATCAAAAAAAAAGACTTTACTTTTTAGAGCAGCTTTAGGTTCACAGCAAAACTAAGCAGAAAGCACAGCAAGCTCCCATATGCTCCCTGCCCCTACACGTGCACAGCTGCCTCCACCATCAACACACCCTACCTGAGCGGCACGTTCGTTACAACTGATGAACTTACACTGACAAGGGATTCCCACCCAAAGTCCACTACATTCGGTTTCGCTTTTGGTGCTGTACCTTCCATGGTTTGGACAAATGTATAATGACGCATGTCTAGTATCATAGCATCACACAGAGCAGTTTCATTGACCTAAAAATCCTCTGCGCCCTGGCTATTCATCTCTCTACCTCCGATCCCTGGAACCACTAATCTTGTTGCCATCTCCATACTCCCTTTTCCAGAATGTCACATCATTGGAATCACACTATGTAGCCCTTTCAGATTAGTTTCTTTCACTTAATCTGCATTTAAAGGTTCCTCTGTGTCTTTTCGTGGCTTGATAGCTCATTTATTTTTATTTTTATTTAAGTTGGAGTCTCATTCTGTCACCCAGGCTGGAGGGCAGTGGCACGCTCCCGGTCACTGCAGCCTTCACCTGCTGCGCTCAGGCGATCCTTCTGCCTCAGTCTTCCAAGTAGCTGAAACCACAGACATACGCCACCATGCCTGGCTAATTTTTTGAGTTATTGTAGAGATGAGGTCTCGCTATGTTGTCCAGGCTGGTCTCGAACCTGCGGGCTCAGGCAATCTTCTCTCCTTGGCCTCCCAAAGTGCTGGGATTATAGGTGTGAGCCACCAAGCCCGGTCTGCTCATTTCTTTTTAGCACTGAATAATATTCCATTTACTGGATATACCAGTTTCTTTATCCATTCAACCTACTGAAAGACATCTTGGTTGCTTCCAAGTTTGGGCCATTATGAATAAGGCTGCTACAAACATCTGTGCAGGTTTTTGTGTGTACCTAAATTTTCAGTTTATGCTATTTAAAATAATTTTTTCAAATATGTAAAAGTAAATAAAATAAACCTATTATATAAGGCAGGGATCCCCAACCTTTTTGGCATCAGGAACAGGTTTCATGGAAAACAATTTTTCCACAAATGGGGCAGGGGATGATTTGGGGATGATTCAAGTGCATAACACTTATTGTGTGCACTTTATTTCTTCTTATTATTACATGGAAATGTATAATGAAATAATTATACAACTCACCATTAAAAAAAAAGAGGTGTGAACAGAAGTGGTAAATAAAATAATGGGTGGGCCACATGCAGACTAAAATAAGTGTCCGATTCTGACTTAAAGCCTGCCACCAAATGCAGCTGTACATCCGAAGTACGTCAACTCACTTGCTGCCCACTGACAGGGTTCTGACATGAGTCTGCAAGCAACTGATTTATTATGGTCTCTGTGGAGTCAAACCTCACTGCTAATGTTAATCTATATTTGTGGCTGCATCCCAGCACTAGCATCCCTGCTTAGCTCCACCTCAGATCATCAGGTGTTAGATTCTTATAAGGAGTATACATCTAGATCCCTCACATTCGCAGTTCACAATAGGGTTCATGCTATGAGAATCTAATGCAGTCGCTGATCTGACAGAAAGTGGAGCTCAGGAGTTAATGCGAGCAACAGGGAGCAGTTATAAATACAGATGAAGCTTCGCTTGCTTGCCCACTGCTCTCCTCCTGCTGTGTTGCCTACTTCCCACCAGGGGTTGGTACCCCTAATCTAAGGTAAGGGATAATGGAATCTGATAAAATATGTGGACATTCTCACACACACATGCACACAAACACACTATCCACAATTTCAAGGGACTCGCCTACTTTGAGAAGCCCACCTGTAGACAATGGCTTAAAAACAAGAATCTGCACGTGCCAGCCCCTGAACCAATACACCCACGAGAATGTAAACTCCACAAGGGCAATCTGTTTTATCAATATCTGTAACCCTAGTTCCCAGAACAGCGCCTGACATATATAAATGTAAATGAATCCCAATGCATGGTGGTAGGAGGGATTGTTTAAGAATCAAGCTACAGCCGGGCTCGGTGGCTCTGCCTGTAATCCCGCGCCTTTGGGAGGCTGAGGTGAGTGGATTGCCCGAGCCCGCAGGTTTGAGACTTGCCTGGGCAACTTGGCAAGAGTTGCCCATCTCTACAATAAGTCAAAAATTAGCTGGGCATGGTAGCGCACACCTGTAGTTCCAGCTACTTGGAAAGCTAAGGCAGAAGGATCGCCGGAGCCCAGCAGGTTGAGGCTGCGGTGGCCGGGAGCAGCCACTGCACTCCAGTCTGGGCGACAGAGTGAGACTCCAACTCAAAAAAAAAAAAACAAAACCATCAAGCTACAACTTAATTAGATCTGGTCACAACAGTCAGCTCCCCAGCAAGTCTTTTTTGCTGTTGGCCAGACCCACAGTTCACCCCCATCTCCAGGGTTACTAATACAAATAGTAAGCTCTCATTTATCAACTGCTTACTATATACCAGGGAATGCTTTAAATTCTTTTCTTTCATTTGCACAAAATATTTCTTTTGATGGGGAACACAGGAGATAAAAGACATGCCCAATGAGAGCTGGGATTCAAACGCAGGGTTGCCCAATTCTGGAGCCATCTGCTTCCTAATCCCAGTTCTCTCCTCCTTGTGAGCTCCTGTCCCTTCCTTCTGCCTGGTCCCTGCTCAAAGCTGCTACACTTTCCCTAGCTGTTTCCTAGGACCTGAAGTCAAGGGGGAACCCTTGTGGCCACAGGTTCTGAGCCAGTCTTGTCAGAGGGAATTTCTTTTTTTGAGTTGGAGTCTCACTATTGCCCAGGCTGGAGTGCAGTGGAAAGCTCACGGCCACCGGAGCCTCGACCTACTGGGTTCAAGCGACCCTTCCACCTTAGTCTTCCAAGTAGCTGGAACTACAAGTGTGTGCCATTACGCCTGGCTAATTTTTTGATTTATTGTAGAGATGATGTCTCACCATGTTGCTCAGGCCGATCTTGAATCCCTGAGCTCAGGCAATCCCAGGACTCAACTCCGCCTCCAAAGTGCTGGCATTACAGACATGAGCCACCGTGCCTGGCTGGAGGCATTTCTTGAACCTGCTGCTGCTTTCGGTGAGACTCCTGCCAGGTCCTGACTCCCTCTCTTCTGCTTATCAGATTACCAATGGGATGACACACATGCATGCAAGAGATGGGAAAAAAAAACTCCAAGGACCAGACAAGCCAGCTCCTCATGATATAAGTTTGTATTAAATATCTACTTTGTGCCAGGTACTGTGTGAGATGCTGGGGACCCTGTCCTCCTGAGGGTTACATTCTAATGGGGGAGAAAGATTACAAGGAGAGCCAGAGCATCCAGTCAGGGAGATGTAAGTGCAGTGAAGGAAAACAGCAGGGAAGGAGGGGAGAGCAACAGGATGCTATGTTAGATGGGCAGGGAAGGCCTGAGGTTGACCTGAATGCTGAATGGCACGAGGCAGCGAGCCTGGTAAGATCTGTGGGAAGACTATTTCTAGCTGGGGATGAAGAGTGTGGCGGGCCTGAGCTGCAGGAGCAACAGCCATGAAGCCACTGTGTCTTGAGCAGAGTGAAAGCAGTGACAGAGGTCAGCAAGGTGACCAGAGGGTGTAGGACCTTTGAGAGGAGCTACGCAGGGGTGACCTGCTCCAACTTACTTTCCATTTTCAAAGGGTCTCTCTGGCTGCATCTCTTGAGCCAGTGGATCATGCTCAGGGTCTCTGTCTCTTGTCTCACTTCTCCTCCCCATCACCACCACCCCCAGGTCCTCACCTGTAGAGACTGAGGTCTGTGAACCAGTCCTGGACGACAATCACCACGTGGCAGACCGTGAAAAGGAAGGCAGCAATCTGGAGTGACTGAGAGTGGGCAGGAAGGTACATCAGAGTTGAAGGTCTCTTCTGCTCAGGCAGTGATCCCTAATCCCAGGACTCAACTTGGGGCAACAGGGCAAGGGTCTCAGAGTCTTTACACAGCTACTGTGTGCCCAGGCCAGCCCTAAACCAGGAAAGGTAGAAATACTCTCCCCTGTTTTACAGGCAACTGCTGAGGCTTGAAGGGGGAGGGGTAGGAAATGACTTGCCTGAGGGGCAGAGCCAAGAGCTCAGACAGTTCTGCCTCTCAATGCTGCCCTCTTCCTGTGGTCCTTGGCACCCAGGGCTCTTATAAAGCAAAAACTAGTTCCACAACTCCTACCCAGTCTCACAGATCTTGGGAGGTTGGGAGTGGAAGTGTGAAACCTCAGCCCTGGGCCTGTTTGGCTCCCTTACCTGCATCTCAACATAAGTGTGGGGAAGATTGTACTCCGGAGGCAGCTTGCGGTCATTGTTGATGAGATGGTCCAAGATGGAGGGGCTCAGGATGGGCTGGAGTAAGGAAAAGAAGAGTGTCAGTGAGGGGCTGCTCACGGCCACCCAAGTTTCACATGTTGAAGGTAAATGCACTGCCTATCTCAGGACAAAACAAGGCCAGAAATACAAGCAGGCACTTTCTAATTAGTACACAGTGCTAGTCAGCAAAAGGAAGCTAAATAAAAAAATGTCAAAGCAAAATACACCTTTCCAGTTTCTTTACAAATCATTGCTGCTCTGAAGTGCCTCATACCCAAAAAGAAAAAATCCCCTAGTGCTAACAAATTTTTAACATTTACTTGAATGAGTCATGTCCCTTAAAGACTCTCTGTTGTTGGTTGTTTCATATACTTTCAAAACACTGCTAAGATAACTTATTAGGTCAAAAACAGTGACTAGTGTAAATATTAGTGAACATTTTAAAAACTGCATCAGTGCATGTAAAAGAATCAGTGGTAGCTGGGCTCGGTGGCTCAGCCTGTAATCCTGCACCTTGGGAGGCTGAGGTGAGTGGATTGCCTGAGCCCGCGGGTTGAGACCTCATCTCTACAATAAATTAAAAAAATTAGCCAGTTGTGGTAGCGCGTGCCTATAGTTCCAGCTACTTGGAAGGCTGAGGTGGAAGGATCGCCGGAGCCCAGCAGGCCGAGGCTGCGGTGGCCAGGAGTGGCCACTGCACTCCAGTCTGGGCGACAGAGTGAGACTCCAATTCAAAAAAAAAAAAAAAAGAATCAATGGTGAGCTCACCAACGTTTCTTTAAAGAAACTACAAGAGCTAAATTAGCTTGATAGTCTTTTGACTTTTTACTGCAGTGAAATTCTTTTAGAAAGCTTTCACAACTGTTCACTTTCTGAAACTACAAACATTGAGCAGTGCTCTATTCTGTCTTTATTAAATTCTGTCTTCCCCTCACAGGCCTCTGACTTGGCTCACAGCCATTATGGCTTGTCTCCAGGTCCCAGTGGTCCCTGCACAGGGCCTGGCATACAAGGCTCATGTAATATTTGTAGGTTTTCCAATCTTTGTGTCATCAATGCCCACTGACCAAAACCCTGTTCCACCAACTATGAGTGCCATCTAGGGCCAGGCCCTGTGCCTAAGCTCTGACCCACAGAGGCAGGGCCCTGTCCTGAAGGGCTCTATACAGGCAGGGAGTGGGAGCAGACCCTGTCACAAACCACATGCTGTCGTAGGAAGTGAACGTGAGCAACAGTAGGAGGGGAAGACTTCCAAGAGGAAGAAGTGGAGACTTCCCAGTGGAGTCTTCAGGGAGGAAACATTAGCCAGGCAAAAAGGCAAGGGGAGATCCTACTGTACCGATAATCATATCTATATATTTTTTTCCTTTTTTTTTTTTTTTAGTTGGAGTCTCACTCGGTCACCCAGACTGGAATGCAGTGGCTGCTCCCGGCCACCGCATCCTTGACCTGCTGGGCTCCGGCGATCCTTCCGCCTCAGTCTTCCGAGTAGCCGGAATTACAGGCGCGCGCTATCACGCCCGGCTGATTTTTTTTTATTTATTGTAGAGATGAGGTCTCGCTGCCCAGGCGGGTCTCGAACCCGCAGGCTCAGGCAATCCACTCACCTCAGCCTCCCAAAGGTGCGGGATTACAGGCTGTACATATTTTTTCCTTCTTTTTCCACGTCCCTCCGTTCACAATATAGACCAGGCACAGGTCTTGGGCTGAGGTGTATATAGGGTAGGTTTGCTGTGCCTCCTCTTTCTATATAGTCAGTGTAAGAACACAGCCTGTGGTAAGCACTGCGAGGCCTGCACCAATAATGATATTAACAGCTAAGAGTGTAGCCGGACATGGTAGTGCACGCCTGTAGTTCCGGCTACTTGGAAGGCTGAGGCGGAAGGATCACCGGAGCCCAGCAGGCCGAGGCTGCGGTGGCCGGGAGCATGCCACTACACTCCAGTCTGGACGACAGAGTGAGACTTCAATTCAAAAAAAAAACAGCTAAGAGTATGTAGCACCTAATTCATGTTGGGCACAGTCATTAGGCCTTTAGTTGTATTAATTCACTGAAACCTCACAAAAACCCTATGAAGTAAGTGATATTATTTTTTCCCACTTGAGAAAACTGAGGAAGAAAAGTGTTAAATAGCCTGACCTGGGTCGCACAGTTCATTTGTGGTTTCAGGTAAAAACATGATGTGGAAAGTCCAGAGACGAGAGAGTATGGCAGGGACTGGTGATGTGCACGTGGCGAGGCTGGTGGCTACTCCAGAGGATGAGGACACACAGTCTGAAGGAGCTGAGCCACACAACGCGGAATGGCAGGTGAAGGAATCTGGACTTTGCCTGAGAGCAGGGGAGAAGCTGAGAAAACTGCCAGGCCAACGCATGACAAGTCAGGGCTAAAGGCAGTGACGCGCCTGAGCACTAACCCTGTGCCAGGTCCTGGCCAAGCGCTTTGCCTAGATTGTCCCACGTAATCCTTCAACTTCCTAAGAGGCTGAGTACAATTATTATCCCTATTTACAGATGAATAATTGAGGTTTAAGGGGGTTAAAACTTAAAGTCACCCAGCTGGTAAGAATTAAAAGGCAGGATCTGAACAAAGACCTTTCAGGGCCCACTTAAAAGCACTGGATCAGAAGATCCTTTAGGCTACTGTGTAGGTGAATGAGATGGCGTGGGGACAGACATCTGACAAGAAGAGACTAAGGGTGCTGGTTTAAAAATATTCCAGAATGGGCTTAAATGCAGCAAGCAGGAGAGTGGGACAAGTGGGGGGCTGGCACCTGTGTGTCCAGGAAAACAATCCGCTCTTGGGTAATAAAGAAGTCGATGCCACTGGTCTGGTTGCCCCCTCGTTCCTTCATTTCAGCACTCTGGGCCCGGAAAACATACGCCCTGTGGAGAGGAGCAGGGGATACATGAGAGTTCTGGTTCTTGGCCTTTGACGCCTCCAAAGTATGGCCCCGTGAACTGAGCATGTGAGATAGGGTTCCTTGCCTGCTCACTAAGCTTTCCATCTGTGCCTCATAGGGGGTGGGGGAGGGGCATGTTATGTACCACACGACTTCACTCCTATCCGTAAGTAGATTCATTAGTTCAACTAATAAAGTCAGTGAACTGAGGTGTTGGACGCAGAGACTCTAACAGACTGCAGGAATTGAAATCCCAGCTCTGCCTTTTTCTGGCTATGTGGTTTTGGGGAAGTTCCCCAACCTCTTTCTCCTTAGTTTCCTCATCTGTAAAATGGGGGAAACAACAGTATCAAAACTCTCAAGGTTACCGTGAAGTTAACATATGTAAAGCCTTTAGAATAGGGCCTGATATATAGTGATATATAATTGTTAGCTATTATTACCAAATGTACCTGCTAGATGCCAGGCACTGAATGCCTCCAATCCTCACAGTGGGAGGTAGTTCGGTGTCTTGGTTTCCAGTATCCTTCCACCTGGTGAGTCTCTCTTACTTTTACCCCTGCTAGGTCTGGGATATGAGGGTAAAGCTGGCAGAGCTGCACCTTGCCCTAAACCACCAAGTTCAACTTAGTGACTCTAATTTGGACAAAGTTTTCAATCTGTAAAATCAGGATAATAGTACCTATCTCTCAAAGGGTAATTTCTATCTCTCCAAGGTGCTTAATATATTGTGTGACACAGAGCAGGCACCTTCCCACTCAATCACCACACAGAAAACCTCCCATCTGCCAGACACCAGAACACAGCAGTAAATACGGAAAAGTCTTTGCTTCTATGGAGCTTGTGGTCTAGTTTACAAATCGATGGAAATTCGTAACTGTGACTGTTAGAAAGAAGAGGTGTGTAGTGCTCCGCTCCGAGTGTGCATAACTTAGAAGGCAGAGCTAGGAAGGGCTGCCCTAAAGAGGGAAATGACAATGCTGAGCATGAGAAAGAGGAAGTTAATTAGGGGTGTGTGTGGGGAAGAGAGGAGATGGACACAGAGGAAGGCTATCCAGGCAGAAGACAGGTGGCTTGTACAAGGAATCAAAGACAAGTATGGTAAGGGCAGAAAGAGGGGGTGGGAGAGGGTTAGGGTGCAAGAAGAGACTACACAGGCCCATGTGGGGCACAGTAAAGAGCTGGAGTTCTGCCCCGGCCTGTGAGCCTGCGGAAGCCCTGAGGAGATTTAAGCAGAGGAGTGACAGGATCGGACTTTGGTTTGCAAGTTCTCCACTGCTGCTGTGGGCGAGGACAGTAGGGTAGAGAGTGGAGACAGGTTAAGTCCCATCCCCAGTGGGACTTTGCCTCTCTGACCGTGACTATGACTCCCCTTCTTGCTCACTCTACCCTAGCTCCTCGGCTTCCTTGCTATATAGCACACACACCAGGCAGTTCCCTCCTCAGAGCTTTGCCTTTGCCATTCCATCTCATGAGAACACTCTGCCCCCGTCAAGTATGTTTTTTCTCAAATGTTCCCCTTAGTGAGGTCCTACCTCTTCACCCTATTTAAAATCGTACTGAGCTCCAACACCACCTCCCTACAACCCCATGTTTTGGTACCATCTTCTAACATACCAAATCACTTCTTTATTTTATTTACTCTCTCTCCTATTAGACTATAAGCCTTGTCAGGGCAAATTTTATTCAGTTTTGTATACCGTTATATCCTCAGCACCTAGAACACTGCATTCAATAAATATAATACTTGTTGAACAAGAGCAGGGAGACCAGAGAGAACCTACAGGGGAGATATTAATGGCTTAAACCAGGGAGGTGGGAATGAAGGAGGGGAAAACAGATGAACTACAAAGAGAATTAGAAGGCACAACCTGTAAGGCCTGATGAAAAAGTTGGTACCAAGTCTACCACACCACAGGTTGACGTGGCTCAAAAAGACAGGCAGGGCCAACAGGATTCTCTCTAGCTTAGGAATCCAGATGAGGAGCCATTGGGAAATTTTGCTAATGGGGGTAAAAGCTGAAATGGAAAGAATGCTATCTGAGAGCCGGGGCTGTTCCAAAGTGGAACCAACATGAGCTGAAGTCCAGAGTGAGCAGGGGGGATGGAGCAGACCTAGAAGAGGGCAGAGGAACCTCGCAGCTCCACTTCCAGTGGGTGTGTATTCTCTCAACAGTCAGTGGTGCTGAACCTTCTCTGGGTCTCTATCAGCCCTTTCCGAGATCTGGTAAAAACTATGGACCTTTGCCTTAGAAGAAAAGCTTGACTGCAGATGTGTGTAAAATTTGCATATACAGTTAGGTGGTTCAAGGAACCCCTGATAGCCATTTGTGGAGAGCAGAGTAATATAACTGGTTTTATATAAACTCCCATTTGTTTTTTTAGATAACTTCAATGAGCCTCCGCTCTTTATCACCCCAAGTGACTACTACCCCCCCCCCATTTTTTTTGAGTTAGAGTCTCACTCTGTCGCCCAGGATGGAGCCTTGACCTGCTGGGCTCCAGCGATCCTTCCGCCTCAGCCTTCCAAGTAGCTGGAACTACAGGCATGCACCACAACACCTAGTTAATTTTTTGATTTATTGTAGAGATGAGGTCTCACCATGTTGCCTAGGCTGGTCTTGAACCCCTGGAGTCAGGCAATCCTCTCGCCTCTGCCTCCCAAAGTGTTGGGATTACAGGCACTGTGCACGGCTATCCCTTCTCAATCTCTATCTGACTCTTTCTTAATTAGATGGTACATCTCCCCCATCTTCTAATCCCTGCCTTTCCCCCTTTCTTCTCTGACCTCAGTATCAGGTACTATTTCTTAAATGCTCCCCTCCCCCAGATCTGCTCCTCTGACTTTACCCTTTGTCTTCATCATCACATCCGATTCTTTTTTTTTTTTTGAGTGAGAGTCTCACTCTGTTGCCCAGACGGGAGTGCAGTGGCCGCTCCCGGCCACCGCAGGCTCGGCCTGCTGGGCTCCAGCGATCCTTTCGCCTCAGCCTTCCAAGTAGCTGGAACTACAGGCGCGCACTACCACGCCCGGCTAGTTTTTTTTGATTTATTGTAGAGATGAGGTCTCGCCAAGTTGTCCAGGCGGGTCTTGAACCTGCGGGCTCAGGTAACCCACTCACCTCAGCCTCCCAAAGTGCTGGGATTACAGGCTGAGCCACCAAGCCCGGCTCACATCCAATTCTTACTCAAGAACATGGTTCAGGCCAGGGATCCCTTGTCTGGTCCTCCCCAGCCCAGAGAGGTACAGCCATCTTCCCAAGGTGACACAGCAGGTCCAAGGCTGGTAGAGAACTCACTCCCTGCATCCCGATCTCTTTCCACACTTTATTTCCCAGATCATCTATCAATCACCAGCCCATCCTGCCAGTGTCTGTTTAGTGCTAAGAACTCAACTTTTTCCTTGCTGATCTTACTTCATCCTCCAAAACTCCACTTGGACACAGAACTAGGAAGTGAAGCCCAATGTCAATCAGCTGATCAGTGGCAGGGTTGAGCCTGAGGTGGGCTTAAACCAAAGCCTTAATAACTCTTTCATCCCATGTCCTGGCTGGGACCTGTGCCTCTTCCTGGGGCAAGGCAGGGTGGGAGGGAGGAACAGGATTGCTTGCCTTGGATTTAGTCCAGCCCATAATCATTCTCATCTCACAAAGACACTTCCCAAACCCTTCGGCAACACCACTTTCAACACCCAAGCCCACCCTGCCCCAGCCCCAGGCGGGGTGCCTACCTCCCTCCTGCACCCCTACCTGGTACCTTCCTCACCTCTGGTCCTCCTCTGGAGTGTTGGCTGACAACAATGACATGACCATGGACTTGCCTGTCCCTTGGAGACCCAAGACACCAACCACCAACACATCAGTCTGATCCAACAGGTACTGCGGGAAGACAGAAATATGACTCTCACAATTCTGCCAGTGGCTAGGGCTGAAGTCAGATGAGGGCCCCAGAGATCTTTTGCCTTATCAAATATGAAGAAAAACTTCTATGCTCCCAATCCCGTTAACTAGGCATAGGGCCTCTGTCCTGTGCCATGGCAGGGTTATGTGAAATGTTCTGGGCGTAAAGAACGGTATCTGTGAGAACTCTGAAGTAGAAAAGAGCCTTGCATGGTCAAGAAGCTAAAAGGAAGTCAGTGTGGCTGGAACATAGTGGGAAAATGAGAAGTTGATCTTGGGGAGAAGGGGTGAGAGGCATGGGAAGAGAAAACAGGACTTGGTAACTGCAGGTTACTGGAGCAGACTCCTGGGAGGCTTCCTACTTCAGGCAGGTTGGGAAAGCACAGGAAGCACAGGAAGGGAGCGGAGTTGAGGAAGAGGTGATCAGGTCATCCCGGCTCGCTTCCAGTCCCTTCGCCTCTGGGGCTCATTTTTCTCTTTGGTGAAAATCAAATCTATCATAGGCCTGACTTCATGGGGTAACTGTAAGGGTTCAGGAAGACCGAAAGTGTTTTTTTTAACGTGTGTGTGTTTTTATATTCATATTTATTGTCTATGGGATTTAAGAGCCCTTCTGGAAATTCCTGAGACCTTCATCCCTAGGTCAACAGCTCTACTAAATTTCACCACCAGGGGGTGAAAGAGACACTCCTCAAGGAAAACAGCTACGCTTGGAACTGTGGCTGCTGCTTAGAATTACTGGAGGGCTTTTGGGGTTAAAAAAGTGAGGAGGCTGAGGTGAGTGGATTGCCCGAGCCCGCTGGTTCGAGACTCGCCTGGGCAACTTGGTGAGACCTCACCTCTACAATAAATCAAAAATTAGCCAGGCATGGTAGTGCGTGCCTGTAGTTCCAGCTACTTGGAAGGCTGAGGCGGAAGGATCACTGGAGCCCAGCAGGTGGAGGCTGCAGTGGCCACTACACTCCAGCCTGGGTGACAGAGTGACACTCCAACTCAAAAAAAAAAAAAAAAAAAGTGAATCTGGGCCCAACCAGGATTTATTCAATAGGTAGGCACCGATCACACATGGCTATTTAAATTAATTAAATAAAGCCGGGTTTGGTGGCTCAGCCTGTAATCTCGCACGTTTGGGAGGCTGAGGTGAGTGGATTGCCTGAGCCCATGGGTTCGAGACCCGCCTGGGCAACTTGGTGAGACCTCATCTCTACAATAAATTAAAAA